CATTAGCAATGAAATTTGAAACATGCAAGTTCTGGAGTATTTAGGCAGAAGCTAAAAGCAGTCTTGGGTCTGAAGAAAAAGCACCAGACTTATTCCCAGCCTTGTCCAAACCTGTTAATGCAGTTTAGTGAACTGTAGCAGCTTTGAAAAAAAAAAGTTGAATCCAGAGGAAGTCATCATGAGAAGACAAGGAAGGCTCTGAGAAGAAGGCAGAGACTGTCTTTACTTCTGTAAGTGTATTGAAGCATTCAGTTTAGGCTCAACTCAATGACCTGGCCTCTGAGCTGGAGCATAATGGGAGAGAATCCCTAGGCCAGAATAACTGTGGCAGTAAGTGATGTGGGAGGGAACCAGGTGGCTCAACGGCTAGAGTGCTAGATGTGGAATCCTGAGACCTGAAGCTGAATCCTGCCTCGGTAGTTGTGAGAACTAAGCAAGCTTTTAACTCCTTTTAGTCACCGTTTCCTCATCTGTAAAATAGGATTACTAACACCTGCTTCATAGGGTCATTGTGAGAATCAAAAGGGATAACTGTAAAATGCTTTATAAACCTAATGCACTCTATAGATGGTAGTTATCACTTATTATTATTGAGTGGTGCAGCAGCCACAGTGGTTCAGCAGTTATTTCTAAGTGCTCAAAAATTTTTTTTTCAAAAACAAAGCTAGGTAGACATTGTTTACTTTTATTCACATAGTAGAATTTCTTAGAAACAGTTGAACTGGAAAACATTAAAATGATAGTAAAATTTCTAGAAATTACATTTATAGATGCATTTTTAAAAGTTTGTAGAACTGAACCTCTTTAATTTTAAACACGTAAATCAATACATTTTAATGTTTATGTAATATGTGCATATGTATTTCTCTGTCTGTTGCCTCTTTTTGTGTCCCTAGTGCTTAGCACAAACCTGGTATACAGTAGGCACTTAATATATTTATAGATTAATTGATCCTAGCTGGAGGTGACAGTGAGTTCTTAAAGGCTGTGTGGGAATGGATTATAAGATTTGGTAGGTTCTGTCCACTTGGAAAAGCTTTGACTATTGGCCTAGTGATTGTCTCTGCCTGTTGTCTGAGGACCAGCCTAGCTAATATTAAAGAGGTCTCTCACCAGAAGTTTGACTATCAGATAGTGATTTTTAGCGGGGCTCCAGGTCAAGAATACCTGCCTCCTCAGGCATGGGACATTCACTGTCTGCACCAGTAGAACACCAATGTAATCATGGATTTTTTTTTAAAGTGTCTGAAGAAGAGCATGTGTATCATAGATGTGTAGTAATGATACTAATACCTAATATTTATATAGCACTTTAAGATTTGCAAAGTGCTTTATATATATATATTATCTCGTTTTATATTCAACCACAACTCTGTAAGGTAGGTGTGTTATCTCCATTTTGCAGATGAGGAAACTGAGGTGTAGAGAGGTTAAATGACTTGTCTAGGATCACACAGCTAACATATGTCTGGGACAGGACTTTAACTCAGCCCTTACTGACTCTACATACTGCTCAGCTGTTTGGGTAACCTACCCCTTGCATATCTCAGAATCATGACATTTTAAAGTTGGAGGAGACCTCACTGAATATCTAGCTCTGCCCATTCCCTGCCTCCCCACAAAAAAAAAAATCTCCATTTCAACCTACCAGACAAGTGGTCATTTAGTGTTTGCTCAAAGACTTCAATGAATGGGAATCTGCTGTCTCCAAAGGTAGATTGTTTCTTGGACAGCTCTAATCCTTAGGAAGCTTTTCCACCATCAAGCCTGAATTTGCTTCTCTGTACATTTCCCCCACCGTTTCTTGTTCTGTCCTCTGCACCCAGATAGAATGAAGCTAATCTTTTTTCTAAATGATAACTCTCGGCATAACTAAAGACAGCCATCATATCTCTGAGCCTTTTCTTCTCCAGGCTAATCATTTCTAGTTTCTTCAACTCACCTTCATATGGCATTGACTTAAGATCCTTCATGACCTGGTTGCCTTTGTGGAAACATTAAAAACCTCTGAAGATACCAAGAAGGAATATTTTTCTTGTTTCAAATCCTTTCCAGACCTTTCCCTAAGGTTCCAGGAATAGGAATTTTAAAGGTGATAACTAAACTTAGAGGTTATCTAGTTAGGATCATTGTCTTCCCCATGAATGACTCTATGAGGCATCTAGGGGCTGTAAATTCTTCTCCATTAAGAAAGGTTTAGGCTGTAGGGGTGGGGAACATGCTGCCTTGAGGCCACATGTGGCCCTCTAGGTCCTCAAGTGTGGCTCTTTGACTGAATCCAAACTTCACTGAACAAATCCCTTTAATAAAAGGATTTGTTCTGTAAAACTTGGATTTGGTCAAAAAGCTGCATGCACCCAAGGACCTAGAAGGCCACATGTGGCCTTGAGACCACAGGTTCCTCATCCCTGATTTAAGATATAGATTAAAGAGAGGAAGTCCCTTTGATTATTTCAGGTCACCTGTGACCAGCTTGAGGGTAGAGGGAAAAAGCCCTTGTGGGGAGTGGTCAAAGAAAGATGGGTAGTTTTAAAAGGATTGTACTTTATGAGTTTTCAGAAAGGTTAAGGGATTATTGCTCTATTAGTTGAAATATGATGTTAACCCCAAGTTGTGTTTTATCATTTTATCATCTTTTTCTTGTTCAAAGTTCCTATAAATGTTAACTAGAATTGTCTTGTGTGAGAGAGTTATCTGAAGTTATGGGTAGATGATGTCAGTTTGGGCTTTTCTCTTTTTAAGCTAGAAATGCTTGGTTTTAGAATAATGTTAAATTCATAAAAATGTTTCTGCCAGATATGCCTAAAATGCAGAAGATAGTATTTTTTCTTTGACATCCTTCTTTGTACATCCTTTTTTACATCTTTTGTATAGTCCTTACCAAAGATGCGTTGGGGAGGTACAGCTTTGCAATTTCCCTTTCTGATTTCAAGTTGTGAGGTTATAAGTGATGAAGAAGTGGATGGCAAAACTACAGAGATAAAGTATGGATGAAAATTTAGGAGGAAGCATCTATGAGTGGACCCAAAGTCTATATTGGCTGTTTTGCCACAAAGAGGGATTGAGTACTTCACTCTGACATTTCTTTTCCTTGAGTATATGTGAAAATATGTCTTCTTCCATTCCCTCATCCTTCAATTTTTTGGATACAGCAACTGTCAGACACCATTCACTGAGATTTCATAGAGAGATTTCAATCTGCATCAGCAAAAGGAGAACTCACACCAATGAAATCCATGATTTTTGAATTCTTTTAATGGGGGACAATCTGGTATAAATGACTAAGGAGTCATGGTTCTTACCTTCCATTTTATTTTGGTGCTTGGGAGAATGGCTTTTTTAGATAATACTATTAACACTACTACTTTCCATTTTAGCCTTTCAAAATACTTTTATATCCCCTGTCTCATTTTAAATTCATGCATACAACAGTTTTCTCCTTTCTTTTCTCCCCTCTCTTCCCTTCTCCCTCTCCCCTTTTTTTCCTTTCTCTCCTCCCGCCCCCACTTTTCCCCTTTATATCAATTACTTTGGAAGTGTATGGTCACCCAGCCCCTCTACTAATAGGCATGGGAGCTTTTACTTTTTCTATTTACAATCGAGGCATCTCTTATCTGCCTCCTTCAGCAGCCTGGTGGCCCCCAGTTGCCAAGGGCTGATCAAATTAATGCAAAACTAAGCATGGACACCAGATTATTCAGTTTTAGCTCACTGGAGCTCAGAATTCTCAAGTGAGCCACTAGCTTCAGCCTCCTCAGCAACACGGATTGCAGGCCTGTCCCACTATACCTATCCTGCAAACAGGTTTCTAAAGACCTGCCTGTCATACCTGAGGGTGACTGGTGGGTTGTTCTACTAACATAGAGATAGTCTATCCAGAAGGGGGTAAATATTGGTGACTAAATGATCCTGAAAGCCAAAGGAGGCTAAGAGGATGTATGAAGCCAGTGGAAGTATTCTAGTCACTAATGCGGTGATTGGGAAAGGCTATGGGAGAGATGTGTGGACACAAAAGCCTTTATATGATACATTCCTGTGCAGATTTTTTCATCTCACTTGTGAAGCTCAGCTAAAGTTTGGGGTTCACATTTTCCTTGCTGTGGCCTTGCTATGCATTCCTTGTCTTTTGTAGAAACCAAAATGGAAGATCTGATTGTGACTCATGATTGGTTATTACACTTAGAATCATAGAAATGAATGGACCTTAAAAAGAATATACGTCAACTGCATTTTACAGATAAGGAAACAGGCCTGATGAGGTTAAAATGAGTTGTCTCCATTTGGACAGTTAGTTAGCTAGAGGGCATATGAGAATCAGGAATTTTCTCTGAACCTCAGCCAATTTTTTCATGCTTCTCAACTGAAGTCAAGATGGCTAGGTGGTGCAATGGAAAGAAAACTGGAATTGGAGTCCAAGGACCTGGGTTTGAATCTCGTCTGTGCTTCTTACAACCTATGTGACTTTGGGAAAGGTATCTAGGTATGTAAAGTCTCAGTTTCTTCATCTGTAAAATGAGAAATTCAGACTAAGTGGACTTTAAGTTTCCTTCTATCTCTAAATCTTATGGTCATCGAAACAGCTAAGCAATGCGATGGATACAGTACTGGACTGGCACGAGGAAGACCTGAATTCAGCTCCAGTCTCAGATGGTAGCTGTATGACTCTGGGCAAATTATTTAATGACTGTTAGTTTCAGTTTTCTGAACTGCAAAATGGGGATAATAATAGCACTTACCTCCCAGGGTTGTTGTGAGGTTCAAATGAAGTAATATTTTAAATTTAATTCAATAAACATTAATTAAGCACCTACTATGTTCCAGCCACTGTGTTAAGTAAGGTCTGGGAATGCAAAGAGGTAAAAGATAGTGTCCACCCTCAAGGAACTTATGACCTTATTTTAAAGTGCTTAGCACAGTTCCTCACATATGGCAGGCACTTAAAGATCTTGGTTCTTTCCTTACTATGAATATGTGGAATCTACCAAAAAAACAGGCCATACCTTAAGATGCTCTGCTCTAGAACTTTGGTTTGACGCTGGTCTTGTTGATTTTGCTTCTGCATTTCCTCCTGTTCTTTTCCACTGTTTATTCCATCCAGGAGCCATTTCTCCCTCAAGGCCTTTTTCTGATACCAGAGAAGAAAGACAAAGATGAACTCTCAGGTTAGTTACAAGTTTCCTTTGCCAAATTAAAATTAAATGAGAAGAATCTGGGAGATGACTTAGTAGGTTAGAAAATTTTCAGTTCTCCAAATTTCTTCTGCAGAAAAAGACAGAACATTGCCTCAGAGGGAATGTAGAGCAGGGGAAATAAAAAGTCAGGGCAAAGCAGTTCTCCTTAGACAATCCAGGAAGACCGCAGGAAAGACCCCCCACCTCCAGGGGCTTGAGTGAAGTACAAACACCTCCAGGCCAACTCTGTGGAATCAACAAACCACAGCTGGGGTTGGGAGGCAGCCTTAGAAAGTTTTGTCTCATGGACAGCATGGAGTTTGAAAGCTGAGTTGGAGAAGATTGAAGGACCTTCCATTCTTTTTTTTTTAATATAAATTTATTTATTTTTAGTTTTCAATATTCACTTCCACAAGTTTTTGAGTTCCAAATTTCTCACCCCTCCCCCACCCCAAGATGGCATGCATTCTGAATACCCCTTCCCCTGGTCTGCCTTCTCTTCTATCTCTCCCCCTCCCTTCTCTTATCCCCTTCCCCTTCTATTTTCCTGTAGAGCAGGATAGACTTCTGTACCCCATTTCCTGTATTTCTTATTTCCCAGTTGCATGTGAAAACATTTTTTTAAAACATGTGTTTTTAAAACTTTGAGTTCCAAATTTTCTCCCTTCCTCCCTCCCCACCCACCCTCATTGAAAAGGCAAGCAACTCAATATAGGTTGTACATGTGCAGTTATGCAAAACACTTCCTTAGTAGACAAGTTGTGAAAAACTAACTCTATTTCCCTTCATCCTATCCTGCCCTCCCATCCATTCTATTCTTTCTTTTGACCCTGTCCCTCCTCAGAAGTATTTACTTCTGATTACCCCCTTTCCCAATCTGCCCTCCTCTCTATCACCCCCCTGCTCTCTTGTCCCCTTCTCCCCTATTTTCCTGTAGGGTAAGACAGATTTCCATACCCAATTGAATGTGTATGTTATTCTCTCCTTAAGCCAAATCCTATGAGAATAAGATTCCCTCATTCCCTCTCACCTTGCCCTGTTTCCCCTCCACTGTGAGAGACTTTTCTTTTCTGTTTTTTTTGTGTGAGATAATTTACCCCATTCTACCTCTCCCTTTCTTCTCTGAGTATCATCCTCTCTCATCCCTTAATTTTATTCTCCAGATATGACCCCTTAATCTTCAACTCACCCTGTGTCCTCTATCTATCTATCTATCTATATATACATACATATAATTTTATTCCTTCAACTACCCTAATACTGACAAAGTTCTCATGAGTTACAAATATCATCTTTCCATGCAGGAATGTAAACAGTTCAATCTTAATAAGTCTCTTATGATTTCTCTTTCCTGTTTACCTCTTCAAGTTCCACTTGAGTCCTGTATTTGAAAGTCAAATTTTCTGTTTAGCTCTGGTCTTTTCATCAGGAATGCTTGAAAGTCCTCTATTTCACTGAATGACCATTTTTTCCCCTGAAGGATTATACTCAGTTTTGCTGGGTAGGTGATTCTTGGTTGTAATCCTATCTCCTTTGCCCTCAGGAATATTATATTCCATGCCCTGTGGTCCTTTAATGTAGAAGCTGCTAAATCTTGTGTTATCCTGATTGTGTTTCCACAGTACTTGAATTGTTTCCTTCTGGCAGCTTGTAATATTTTCTCCTTGACCTGGGAACTCTGGAATTTGGCTACAATATTCCTAGGAGTTTTCCTTTGGGGATCTCTTTCAGGAGGAGATCTGTGGATTCTTTCAATTTCTATTTTGCCCTCTGGTTCTAATATATCAGGGCAGTTTTCCTTGATAATTTCTTGAAAGATGATGTCTAGGCTCTTTTTTTGATCATGGCTTTCAGATAGTCCAATAATTTTTAAATTCTCTCTCCTGGATCTATTTTCCAGGTCAGTTGTTTTTCCAATGAGATATTTCACATTGTTTTCTAATTTTTCATTCTTTTGGATTTGTTTACTGTCTGATTTCTCATAAAGTCACTAGCTTCCAATTGCTCTGTTCTAATTTTTAAGGAAGTATTTTCTTCAGTAATCTTTTGGACTTCCTTTTCCATTTGGCCAATTTTTCTTTTTAGGGCATTTTTCTCCTCATTGGCTTTTTGGACCTCTTTTGCCATTTGGGTTAGGCTGTTTTTTAAGGTGTTATTTTCTTCAGTATTTTTTTGGGTCTCCTTTAGCAAGCTGTTGACTTGTTTTTCATGATTTTCTTGCATCACTCTCATTTCTTTTGCCAGTTTTTCCTCTACTTCTCTTACTTGCTTCTCAAAATCCCTTTTGAGCTCTTCCAAGGCCTGGGACTGATTCATATTTTTCTTGGAGGCTTTGGATGTAGGAGCTTTGATTTTGTTGTCTTCTTCTGGTTGTATAGGACCCTCCATTCTTGAGGGATGCCAAACACAGCTGTGCTGATCAGATACATCCTGGACTGTGATTGTGGGGAGAAGGAGCTAGCACACACCTGGTGAGTGTAGTAGCAGAGAGGCATGGACCCTGCTGACTAGGCACTTGCAGGACAGCAGAGTCCCTTGTTTCAGTTCTGGGGCAGATAGGACGCTATAGTTTGCAGCCAACAGAGGGACCGCAGGGAGCAAGAACATTTGCGGGACAGTGTGACCAGGGGCTTTAGCCATGGCTTAGGAGTGGAGAGGAGAGCCCAAGATTGATTGACAGGGCCAGGGCCGACTTCAGAAAATAGCAGTAAGAAGTACCTGAGGCCTGGGGCATCATTTCCCCATACCTCAAGGCTACAACTTGATTACACTAATAGCTGCTAAAAACAAAATAAAACAAAAAAATTGAGTAAGCAAAGGAGAAAGAACCCAACCATAGATAGCTACTATGGAGATAGAGAAGATCTGGGTTCATATTCAGAGGAAGATAATGGAACTAAAAAAAGCCACTCTTTTTTCAATGAGAAACATCAAATGGTCCCAAGCAGAAAAAGAGTTCTTGGAAGAACTTAAAAAATCAAATAAGAGAGACTGAGGATAAATTAGAAAAAAAAATAAGAGCAATCCAAGAAAATCAAGAAAATTATGAAAAGAAAGTCAACCAACTTAAAATAGAGAATCAAAAACCTAAGGAAGAAAACAATTCCTTGAAAACTAGAATTGGGCAAAGGGAAGCTAATGATGTTCTAAGACACCAAGAAATAAAACAAAATCAAAAGAAAGAAAAAATAGAAAAGCATGTGAAACATCTCATCAGAAAAACAACTGATGTGTAGAACAAATCAAGGAGAAATAATATAAGAATAGTTGGACTACCTGAAAATTATAATAAAAAAATCTTGATACTATATTACAACAAATTATCAAGGAAAATTTCCCTGAAGTTGTAGAACAAGAAGACAAAGAGGAAATAGAAAAAATCCACTGATCACCATCTGAAAGAGATCCCACGAGGAAAACTTACAGGAATTTCATAGTCAATGTTTCAAGCTCCGAGGTTAAGGAGAAAACATTGGAAGCAACAAAAAGAACCAATTTAAATATTTGTGGAGCTACAATAAGGATTACACAAGACCTAGTAGTTACTACACTGAAGGATAGTAAGTCTTAGAATACTATATTCCATAGAGCAAAAGAGCTGGGGTTATGACCAAAGGCAACTTACCCAACAAAGTTAAGTATAATCCTGAATGAAAAAAAAATGGACATTTAATGAACTGAAAAACTTTTAGGTATTTGTGATAAAAACAGCAGAACTTAAGGGAAAATTCAACATATAACATCCAGGAGAAATATAAGTAAACATTAAGGACCAATTGTAAGGGACTCAATAAGGTCAAATTGCTTACTTCTTATATATAAAAATATTATCAGTTCTTTTATGATTCATTTTTTTGGGTAGTTTGAAAGAAAAGCTTGGGTTGAGCTGAGTATAATGGGATGATTCTAAAAAAATATAACTGTGTAGGGAGAGATAAAAAGGAGCAATTATCTTATACAAATGAGGCATCAAAGGAAAAATTGATACACAAAAAGCTAGTGGGGGGAGAACAGGTAGGGCTGAAACCTCATTGGGAATGGGTTAAAGAGGGAACAACATATATATCTAGAAGGATATAAAAGTCTTCTAAATTCAGAAAGAAATAAGAGGGCAAGGGGATAGGGTGGAGGGAGGGGATAAGGGAGGTACTCTTGGAGGAGTGGGTAGGTTAAGGAATAGAGGGCAAGGTAGCAAGTAGAAGTAAAGTAAAGGAATGAGGAGGGATAGCAATAGGGTGAGAAGGATAATGAGGAAAAATAGGAAAGAGGAAAATATACAAGTAATTATAGCTTAGAATGTGAATGGGACAAATTTACCTATAAAATGGCAATGGATAGCAGATTAAAAATTTGAATTCAACAATATACTGCTTTCAGAAAATGCTACAAAATAAGAAATACACACAAGCATAAAATAAAGGTCAGGAGTAGAATTTATTATATAAAAAAAGCAGGGTAGTAATCATGATCTCAGACAAAGTTCAAGCTAAAATAGATTTAATCAAAAGAGAAAAATAAACTACAGCCATATTATTCAATGTTGTTTTAGACCATTTAAAATAACTAGACAATATAAAATACCTGAGAGTATAACTGCTAAAACAGACAAAGGAACCATATGAACATAAATATAAAACATTTTTTATACAAATAAAGTCAGATTTAAATAATTGAAGTTACATTTAATATTCATGGGTAGGTAAAGCCAGTATAATAAAAAATGACTTACCTAACTAATCTATTTATGTAATGCCATCCCAATTAAATTACTAAAAATTATCTTACTGAGTTAGAAAAAATAATAACAAAGTTCATTTGGAAGAACAAAAGGTCAGGAACTTCAAAGAAACCAGTGGAAAAAAGAAATGAAAGAACAGATTCAGTAGTATAAGGAGAGAGCATTGTTAAATTGTAAAATGGGTAATTTTTATTTTAAATTAAAAATTTCTTGTTC